AATAAATTCTGAAGTAATCTAGGCCTAGATACAATGTGATCAAGTCCTGCTGATATAAGTTGCTACACTGTAACATAGCTGAGAACTATATTATGTCATGGGATGCATACATGTAGTTATATGTACATGTGTATACATGTACAATGTATACTACCATACTTGTGACTGGATTTTTTTTGGTAATGTTTACATCCATGTAGCACTAAATGCACAATAAATGTAAACTCACAATTTACAATATTTTCCCGTAAGCAGCTCCATAATATGCGATCTACCCGGTAGTTCAACTTGACAGATCCACCATTCCTCCCCCCCCCCTCCCGGGTTTCTCATGCAAGGAAGACACTGAAATACAGAGTGTCATCCACAATTGAATGCAAGTACACTCGCCTAGTTGATGGTCTAATCTCGTGACCAGGATAATCCACGGTTAGCAAATAATTCAGTCCATCGGTCCATCGTGATATCTGGACTACATGTACACGTACACTCATGACATATTATCGTTTACTAGACAGATGCTTTTGTGAAAAAACAAGAACATCAAAAAAGGCTGAAGAGCATTCCGTTTATCTCTCAAGCTAAATTTCTCCCAAGAAAAAGCCTAACGGCAAAAGCATGGCAATCACTTTATGACAATACACCTTAGCCTCAGAAGTGCATGGTTTTACCAAATGCTAAATCACACACGTACTCGGTACATCAAATTAAATTAAAACTAAAATTATAACTCAATCTGCTTCTCAAATCACAGGTGAATCTAACCTCGGAGGCCCCTAAAGACAGGCACTTCGCCACTTTGTGTGGACATGCTGCCTATTTTTAGGAACGAAAACTCGACTTGGCCAATTTTGCAGGAAATGCAACAAATGGAGTTTCAGTTTCCAGAACTTCCTCGGAGTTTTGCTTTGTCTTTCTGTTTGGCATTCCTTCAGAGAATTGTAATATGGCTCTGCTGGGAGAAGCCTCTACATATTTTCTGGCAATGCAAACAAATTAACTTTTCTGTTTTTCTCAAATTTTGAGTCGATGTTAATCAATGTGTATGTTTATTTGCATACGGCCAAGGACAAAAATAAGTAGTTTCTCGTCCTGAATTTTTGAATAATGAAGGAGGCAGGCACTTTTTTTTTAAGATGGCGGATTTTGCAAGATGGCAGATGGATTCTTCATTTTTCTAGACTATTTTGCTGATACAAAATTGTGTCCAAGGGAGCCATTACCCATTTCTACATAGCCACAGTTTTGTTGGAAACTAATAAAAAGACAATCTACATGTATGTACATACTAGCAAAATATATTACAAATGATTGAATTTATACAAAGAAAAGAAAAGAAAAAAAAAAGGTAGCCATGAAAAAAGGAAGTGGGCGGGTACGAGAAACTGATTAATTTTTTTACATGGCCTAACTTACTGCGGGATAGTGCAATACTGTGTACTTATACACATTTTCTTTGCACTCGATCGTATTTTATATTATGAGGCACATACACAGGATCAGGAAAGTCAAGTTTTCTTTCTTAATTACAGAAATAATTGGGGCTATTGGCTGCATCCTATTTCCCTAAAAAAAATGTACATAAACTTATACTGAGTAAAAGGTATAATTATAAACAACATTTGTTTTTGCTAACATTTTCAGAAATGGATGGATATGGGGGTTAGTATTTTATAGCAAATATTGTAACACTGATTAGTTTAAAGTTTTGTGTTTACAGATGCTGGGAAAAACCAAGGAAAAAATGCTGTTCTTGCAGTCTGGTTCCCTGACCCTCCTTCAGACGAAACAGAGCAATTTATAGAACGTCAGGGAATTGCCGGGTCAGCGAACCAGACTAGCTGGCTTGCACCCATCTTAATGACAGATGATGTGTACCGGTACATGTTTGTACCAAATCAAATGGAAAGGGTTCAAAATATCAAGATATGTTTTTCCATTTTTTATTTAAATTTTTTTTCTAACGCTTTCATTGACTATGTCACCATAAAAACACCCGTCTCATGGTGTATTTTAACCAATAACCACATTTGCAATGTGCAATGTGGCTATTGATATGTTCATCCCAATAGAAGTTTAACCCTAACCGCCCTGAATCCTTCAACATCCTCTTTGCCAAAGTGGCTGAATTTGGAGGATTAAGGTTACATGGCAAAAGTGTGTTACTAATTTCGTAGGATGCACTTTGTCAAGGTCTTGGGCCCGACCTTGTGTTGTTTCTGCTCAGCCATGCATAAATATAGGCCTTGATTATGCTTGAAATCCCCTGTACTTCTCCAGGATGTCACTGGCCAAGCCTCAACATACTGACAGTCACTCACTGCTACAGGATTTTGCAGGATTCAGGCAGTGGTCACTCCTCAACGGGCCACATTCAAGAAATAATGGAGGAATTTGCAGGATTGAGGCTATATACATGTATGCTATTTTTTCATGAGGCCAATTGAAGGATTTTGCAGGATTGAGGCTACATCCTAGCAAAAAGGCCTAGGGAGTTAGGGTTTATGTGGTAAATATTCAAAAATTTTAATATTCACATGATGGGTTCCCTCTATCATTACGACAATCTATCAAACATATGTAATTCCGGTACTTTTATGGAGGATAATATGTGTTTTACCACCGAAAATTTAACCACATGTGAATCTATTGGCAAAATCTGTTCCACTTCATGTGAAATTAGCTGGTAAAACAGTATGAGAATAAAAAGCTCCCTGTCCAAAACAGTGCCTGTCACTAGGCAATTCATTACAAATTTGCTGAATGCATCGTCCTCACTATGATTGTATTTCTAGGGTTCTGCACTGCAGCCCAACACGGGTGCTTTGATTTTCCCTTCCGAAGCAAGATTGAGCCTGCGCCAGGATTATTTTTGCCAAAAATTTCGATTTTCGCAACTGACAAAATTTTCCAGCCAACTTCTGATATACATCCAAAGCCACAAATACTGATTCGCAAGAGTCATTTCAACAGTATTTGTACGATATTTCTTGTCGAAACCTCATATGTTTCAATACTCCGGGGTGTGAAATGGAGCGTAAATTGTACAATAGGCAGTGCACAACGGCCAATTCAAGATCAACACACGGTCCGCCTCCACAGACTTCACAGGCTTGCTGTGCATGTACAAAAGTCATGAGGGATAAACGTGTTTAGACGTCACCCGGAGGCAAGTCGAGGCAATCTTGACGTGTATAAAAACAGCCAGTGTGTGTTATCACGTCCTCCGACGCGAACTGGTTAAACTTACTGCACTCCAGTACACTGCAAATGCTTTTGAATAAACACGCCTCGCAGGCTCCAAATTAAAAACCAAAAATAGACCTACGGTATGGAGTTACACACATTGATCCAATTCCCAGTAACTCGTAGTCCACACTATTTTTTTTGGTCCCCTTTAAATTTTGGTTGTGTACTAGGTGACCTTTAATTTCTATCATGAGCAAATGAAGAATACGATTTACAACACCAAAGATACTTGAACCACAAGTTAAAATAAAATTATTTTGAGAGGGATAGAAACCATCCGAATAAACAAGACTTGCAATGTGTCAAACATACAACATATTCATACATTTCTACACCAACTTGTGTATTTTGTATTGTCAGATTTCTTCCCAATTTTCTGGGAAAGAAGACACCATGAGTGTACTTTCTGTTTAAATATCGCGTTCTCAGTTAAATAAACCTTACCACTGAGTTACAGAATTTCTCCCTTTTTTGGGTGGGGGATGTTTGGGCGTTAACCCTCCCACTATTTAACAGTCACAGACAGTCAAAATTTCCATCCACTTCCCCTGCTATACATTTAACACAGGCTAGTCACCAGCAGTCAGATCATATGTCTAGCAAGCACTGTGGCTAGTCAAACTGGGTCAACAGACAAAGCAGGCAGGTTGCGGTCACGGCTGTTTTATCACTCACCCGGAGTCAAAGCACGGCTGCATCAAGTTACTTAAACAGTCCCAAAAAGTCAATCCTGCTTTATGTAGGCTGGGAATTCTTTAACTGTTGAAAACAGTCACTTGTTTAAAGTTTGACTGAAAGGACTACTTGGCACAGAATGTATGTTTGCATAGAAGGTTAAATAATATGGGGTTTGAGGGCCAAGGTAATGTGAGGACAAGCTAAAAAAAATTACACGTGACCTCTGCACCACTCAAACCAAAGTGCAATAGTCATGGTGTCCCTCTGCATCTTGGGCCTCGGAAACCAAGGGAGTCCAGTATCTTCCAGACAGAATAGGACACCACGTTCATGTATACTGACCCATGATTAACCCAACATACACACCCACCTACTCATACCCTATGGCTGCACTACTGTACTGGGGGCAAAGGGGCATTTGTCCCCTATAATTTTTCCCCTTGCCCCCCCCCCCCCAAGTTTACCCTTCCTCCCCAAGTTCAATACTCACCCTATGTCAATACCAACTATATACTGCAGTAAATTTAACAGTAGAAACTGTTTTGGCAGGGACTTACATTGGCTGTTGAGTACAAATATTGCACGTGTGTACAACAGCACTCTCACGTGACGTATGATATCCAGTACCTCCTTCCATTCCCGTTCCCGCCCCCCCCCCTTCCTTTCCCATTTTTCTCTTCTGTAGCCACTGAGAAGCATTTCGGAAATCTATTAACACCATGCCACCATTTCTTGGCCCTTCTCTCTTCTTGCTCCGCCCCCCCCCCCCCCCTATTTGTAGCAAGCCAGTTCCGGCACTGCAAGTCACACCTTTGTCAACTCATTCCATTGACAGCCAATAAAATTTAACACAGTTTAAAGGCCGGTTCATACTAAGTGCGAAAGCGAATGCGAATGCTACTTTGTGACGTCACGACAAGTGTTAGTGCTGCGATTTTGCAAAAGTTGAGCACTTTTTAACTCTGGCGAATTTTGCAGCAAATGTGTCATGAAGTATGAACCGACCTTAACAACTCACAGAACACAACCCTCTTCCTTTAAATTCAAGATGATAAAAGAAAAAAAAAGGATACAGGTCAAATCCAGGTCGAAGTTTCCATCGGTGTACCGGGTCTTGTTCTTGCTGACAAGTTCTCGTAGCTTAGCCGCCATGTTTCCCTCGGCGGCACTCGGGGATTTTGAAAAATGATTTGCTAAAAAAAAAGTCACTGACTGCAGGATGATAATGAAAAATTGTCACATCATCGACAAAAAATGCAGTCACGTTTCCGAAGGGACCCTGAAACGGGCCAATGCTGGTGACTAATCCTTGAGTTTTGTGTTGGTCAAGACTGATCCAGTCTGTAATGTCAAACCCACCATGTTGTATTTTCTACAGCCAATCAAATTTCGATGGTTATTTTAAAACTGTCAATTTATCAAGAGAGTATGGTAGAGACATCATAACCACTTTGAACGTTACGCCAAAATGGACCTGTTTTTATTTATCTAATATCTTCCTGTCAGTCACACTGGATGAGTAGTGCACCTACATCTCACGAGTTCCAAGGCAACACACTAGAAAGTAAGAAGAACTTTATTCAATGCATCCTTGCATACACGATTTGCAGGCTTTAGACTTGATGCAGCATTGCAGCAGCGCCGCTGTAGCGAACACACTGCTTCGGCTTCATGCCCTCCATATCCACCATGCACGGTTAAAATTTCCCAGGCCAGTGAGAGTGTGTTGGCCCGTGCAGCTCCAAAATCACGCTTACCGAGGAATTACACCACCATTTGATACTTTCGAAGCCCATAGAACAACCACACCTATGCAGAGCCGGAAGAAGACGACTTCCCTGTGGTTCCTTCTCAATAAAAAGTGGTATTTTCCGGGATATTCGCCACTATCTCAATGCACCGCTAGCTAGCAAGGAAGTCAAGCTCGCTCTCTGATTTGACCCTTCACCCTTTATTATCGCTCCGCATGTAAAAAGGATTGCTAGCCTCGCACTTGGCGTTTATGGTTCAAAAACTAACTTGTACTCAAATACTGTATTCTTTTATAATTTAACTTGCCATATTTTTCAAAAGCCCAATCATAATTTAGTATTTTGACACCATAACATCATCTTTTTTAGCAGTGTTCCTCTTAAATCTAGAGATGTGAATCGGAAGCATTTCAAAACTGTTACCGTGAGTTGCCTCGAAAAAAGACTAGCTACCGGAACAATTTTCCCGAAGCAAGAGTTGACCTGCATTTTCGGAATGACAAGTTTTAATGACAAAAAGCCATATTTTGATATGGGACATTATGATTTTTAGTCGGACGTGATTGTGCTGGTTTCTGAACCAATCGTAGGTTAAGAAACGTGAGTCCAAAGAAACTGAAGGAATTAGTTTACCTGTAGCGGAAGGTTACACGTCTGATTTAGTTACACTATTCAATGTTATGGTCACGTGGTCAACTTTTCCGGCGGACTGAAACCGCAAAATGTACTGTGTTATAATGTAGCGCACACGTGTAAATGCAGGCACAATCCCGTATAGGAAAGTGCAGTAAAAGTTTCGGCACCTTTCATCTTTTGATATTCTTCTTAACCAAAAAAAAAACAAACGGGCAAAGAGGATGTGCGTAAAGTTACTGTCATTAACTCTATCACTTGACCGCGAACTATAGAATAGGCAAGCTACATGTAAGAAAATTGCTCGATCCTTATTGGCACAGAAAAGGAGAAAATTCAATAGGATCCTGCGACTTTGCCTGAATCGCTCTTCAGGCAAGTTGACGGCTAGGCTCGCGAGCGGCTAACAATATTTTAAATAGCGCCCTCTAGCGTTCAAGGGTGTTGGGCCGAGGCGCAAGTGTACTTGTAATGGTAGCCACAGCCGTGGCCCATGCAGTGAGTTTGAAATCTATCAGAAAACACACAAAAAAAATCGCCATTTTTTTTTAAGAAGGAAATTTACAAATTCAAAAACTTACCCCAAGATAGAATCCAAAATATTTCTGCGTGCAGGGCATACCAAGCACTGTCGGAATGACTGCACCGAAGCATCTGGAAGTGTTTTTTTGAAATATGAAAATGTTTTCCTCCCTTGCGTGACCTCATTAAGTCGATCGCCCTCAGGTCGACCTTGCAACGACACAGAACAGTCGACGACTGACTTTTCAGGATCAAGCTGCGCCTGAGCTACAACTGTCGGGAACATTTCAGTCGGAATTTTTCTTTTTGCGACCCGAGTAGTGCATTAAAGTTCGACGAGACGATCGGCATCAGTCGGCGCTCAAAATAAATATTCGTTAAATGTTCACCGATTATAACAAAATTAATTTGAAAAAAATCTTTCTTGAAATACTGGAAACGTTTTCCTCCCACGCATAGCCTCATTATAAAGCCGGCCCTCAGATCGACCTCGCGAATGAATGTGACTTTTCAGGATCAAGCTACGCCCCCGGTCTAGTCTTATTAATCTTGAATCGTCCTTAGCGCGAGGTGTGATGTTTTAGCGCGCACGAGTCAGTGGACTGTGCAATGCACTGAAGCGGCGACAGTCGAAGAAAAAGGACGAACGGTCTCCCCCCCTCCCCAGAATCCTGCAAACGCCACTGCCCAACTAAGAGCCCCTACTTTATGTTTGAAAATTACCCGGACTTAAAGCCCGATATCCTTTCTACAATCTTGTTTCGGTGTATAGAAAGGAAGACAGGATGCTTTCAAGAAACAAGAGCGCTGGTAATTTCAGCCGGGCGTGGTAACTTCGATAGGGGAGGTCTGCACTTAATCTGACGTAGTACTTTAGTGTGCATTGTTTTCATACGCCACAGCCCGTCTGAATTTCGTCTGAATACCCCCCCCCGTCTCATCCAAGCCTGAAGCCCCCAACCTCGTCCCCAGTGCTTACTTTATTTCCAACACGGTTTCCAATAGTAAACCCTGGATAGGAAACTTTCTTCCTGTATCCTGATTCGATACCGCAATTGGCTAGTAATGGATTTTTATCGTGTACTTGGTGTTGTTATTCACAACGTGCAGTACGTGTTTTCGCGATCATTCGTCCACGCCTTCTCGAAAATATTAATTTCCTTTCCAGTTTGTTAATATTAACATGAAATGTGATACTGCATATTGTTTCGTTAAGATCGTAACAGTTTAATTGAATAAAAATCGTGTTTTTGTAACTCATCACCAGACTATTCCTCATTTGCATACGTGTTCAAAAATCTTGCACATGCAAAATGATCCAATATCAGGGTGAGAGAGCAGGTAGTGATGGGCGCGTACTGCTCGAAGCCCTGGGTACGAGGTTGTGAAGCCCCCACCCCCACCCCCAGTGTGCCGCGCCGCTGGGGGTATACGCCCACTTTCATTTTTTTACCTTGTTAAAACCAACGCTACGTTCTCATTAAGTTGAAACCCGGGAAACAATTGGATACGGAAGCCATTTCTAGGGATTTTTTTTTTGGTCGCAATTATTTGGCGGCCTTTTCCCGCTCGTAACGTACACCCACACGCTGTCCAAAGGCCAAGGGCACCTGTGATGGCCACGCCAACGTCACGTGCATTTAGTTTTTGAAAATGCGCATGCGTATAGTACGGCTTCCTGCAGATGGTTGTTCTGTAGCTGCAGACGACGCCCCGGCGAAGCAACATGAGAAAATGTAACTGAAAAAAATTTACACAGTCTAATGCAGGCAAAATTTGGTCAAAAACATACTTGGTCGAAAAAAATTAGATATGAGCCGAGTTATTGTCTTGAAGCCAATAATTCGATTTTTGTGAAGAAATAGTTCAATAACTAAACGTTGGTGGATTTTGTTCGTTCGATGTCTCATTCAAAAGTGCATTACTACTATATTTTCAGAGAAATAGCAACTGGAAAGATAATCATATTTTTTTTTCGGAGTGAAACGCATCTGTAATGTTTTAATATTGAAATCCGCAATGTCGCAAGGAAAACGTCGCTAACTCTAAAATTAATGTGGTTATGGATTCTGGGCACAATTAAAGGTAGTAATCGAAGTTTCTGTTTAGTAAAATATTGGGAGACAGACTTGCATATTTCAAAATGTCTTCACTCCCAAATCACGAAAGACAAGGAGTCATTCATTCATATACTGCGTGAAAAAAAATAGCATAATGATTCCCACATCCAGGGCTGTCACCGGGCTGACGTCATTATGACGTCAGTCGAGCTCATGAATCGTCAGCATTTTGTAAAGAAATACGTAGCCAGCAGGCCAGGTCGAGCATTGCAATGCCACCGAGTGACGTCAATTCATCTTCACTTTTTTCCCCGCACGGGGCCGGGGCCGCAGCGACTAAAATTAGCACCTTGCCATCACGGCATAGGAGCGAATGACGTGTGCAATGTCGAGAGAACGAGAAAGATGTCAAACCGCATAGTCCACACCAAGTCGAGGATGCATGCATGCAAATGAAAATCATCTCACCTGAGGCTGACATTACAATCAATCACGGTAAAACTTGCGGACAATTATTTATTTGACTGGCTGTCACTGATTCATCTGATTGTATTTCTAAACAGTTTCGGTGTCCATCTATGCGTTGACTATTTGGCAGCCCACAAAAAAATGCTTGAAGGTAAGGATGCATCGCGACTTCGCGAGTATCTCACATCTTTGTTTTTGTTAAGGACAACAAAGGTGCAAGAAACGGTATCCTCTTCCCTTCCATGGGCGGGGCGAGGGTGAAAAGCATCTATTAACAGGTCTTCACTACCCCAGCTAGTAATAATAGCATGCACACCACCGGCACGCGTCCAGGGGTCTCAACACGGGGATGCGGGATGGGGGGGGGGGGGGGGGGGGCACCACGCATCCAGGGGTCTACGGGGACGCGAGTGGGTATATTTCCTCCCGCCAACGGTTGAAAGTAAGTAGGATCATCCCCCGATATTGTATGGAACTCAGACACCCTTAACCCAAGGTTATCCTTTCCAACGTAAACTGAAAATGTGCAATACTTGGGTGGGGGCTGGGGACATGGGGACAACTGCGAAATACATTTTTAAATTTCTGGTTTGGGAAAAGATGCGGAAGAAGGGGATGAAAACCAAAGGCAATTTGGGCAGTCTTGAATATGAATTCATGTTCGGGGTATAATCAACTTTGCGAATGTGTATTATACATATAAGGTTTTAGGCTTTGCATTGCGGAGTATCGATATAGTTTCGGTTTGCGGTAACACCATGTGGTAATAACTACAGGAACACTTTTTTTTTCAAAAACAGCCTCCCCCCCCCCCATTTTTCCACTTCAATTTCCATAAGAGTTAAATCCAGTTTTTACTCAGTTTGAAATAATAAAAGGCAGCAATAAACCCCGTATATTTCTATCTAAATCCTCTTTTATTTTCCCACAAAATATATTATTATACATTAAAGGTATCCATTGTATATCACACAACATCTTTTGTTTAATCACTTGTTCATCTTCTTAAAAAAAAATCATCTCGGCAATTATCCTGCAAATTAACAAATAGAAATCACTGGAAATGAGTTGGTTGTAATTGGAAAAATCTTTAAAAAAAATAAAAATTAAAAAACCCCATCACTTTAAGGCAGAACATTCAGAAATCTTCATTATTTAACTTTAGTTTTAAGTATTCACACAAAAAATTGTGCACATTTGGTATTTTTTCCCTCATTTCATTTCTTTGCATAAAAGCAGCAATGTTGATTTTGTGAATCAGACTGGCCAAAGTCTAAGCTTAGTCCAAAAATTTGCCTTAGAATTTGCCAAAAATTTGCCTTATGACTACGTACACTCCTTTGATCCGATTGGTCTAGGACCAGTTTTACTAGACTTGCCTAGCTTTTGTTTAAGCCAGATTGTGATCTGTCCAATAAATACCACTGTTGTTTTAATGGTTATTCCTTTTATGACAACTTATAGTTGGTCAACATAAAAAAAGTGTAAACATCAGGAATAAAGATGTCACGTTAATTTCTTGGTCTTAAATGAAGTGATTCCAGTTAAGATTTTTCAGCTCTGAAATGAAATTTGAACAAAAGATTTCTAATTGAGTCCTTATAGCAAAAATCTTGACAAATAAACTCCCTTAAAATTCAATTTCACAAAAACGGGGCATATAAAATACAGCACCATTGCAACAACTGTGTAAAATTTGTCTTAAAGAGTGTTTTCATTTACAAAAGTGCAGACGTTCTTTCCAAAGACTTTTTAAAACTGATTTCTGCAACACTTGATAAATATTTATGTATACATACATATACAAATGGGTGCAGACCAAAAATACACCTCTATTTACAGTTAACAACTCTGCGTACAACTTTTGTTTGTTTTTTTAACTCTTTTTTTAACATAAAAAAACAAAATATGCTTCAATTTACAACACTAAAAATTATAATATGGTACATCAGCCTCACAGATGAAAAAGGAATTGCGGTTCAGAAAATACTTCAACTGAAAGCAACACTTGTCTTTTCATTTATGCAATTCCAGAAGACACTAAGAATAAACCACAGAGTTTTGTTAGCACTCTGTAAAAACGCTGCAATGATGCTCGACTTTAAAAAAAAAGAAATACACTGTATGTGTACTGCAAAAATGATGGTGGGCAGGTCGTCACTGCGTTATGGGGAGTTTTATTTATTGTTAGGCAAATTAGGACCGAGGCGGGGAAAGGGGTGGGGCGGGGAAAGGGGGTGGGGCAGGCTCGAGGGGAGGGGTAAACCACTCCATTCCCTGAATGGGGCGGGGAAAGGGGGCGGGGAAAGGGGGTTGGGCAGGCTCGAGGGGAGGGGGATAACACTCCATTCCCTGAATGGGGCGGGGAAAAGGGGCGGGGAAAGGGGGCGGGGCAGGCTCGAGGGGAGGGTAGACCACTCCATTCCCTGAATGGGGCGGGGAAAGGGGGCGGGGAAAGGGGTTGGGCAGGCTCGAGGGGAGGGGTAAACCACTCCACTCCTGAATGGGGCGGGGAAAAGGGGCGGGGAAAGGGGGTGGGGCAGGCTCGAGGGGAGATACCACTCCATTCACTGAATGGGGCGGGGAAAGAGGGTGGGGCAGGCTCGAGGGGAGATACCACTCCATTCCCTGAATGGGGCGGGGAAAGGGGGTGGGGCAGGCTCGAGGGGAGATACCACTCCATTCCCTGAATGGGGCGGGGGTGGGCTAAAGAAAAGTCCTTGTGACTAGTGGCCACGTGCCTTTGTTCATTGTGTCCCTTTTCCCTTTTTTTCGCCACCCTGAACTCGCTCATTTTTGGGTATAAAAGTGTAAATATATCAACAAATCTGAGTAATTAATAGTGTCAAACATTCTGAGTAGCAATCATCAGCCTTCGCCAAGAATGTTTGAGTTTAACAAAAACCACAGTTCTTGACAGAGTCTGAAGAATTTCTTTTTTACAACACAAATCTGAAACAGTGAAATTACGACAAAGTCTGAACTTAGGTGGCGACTGAAACTGGTAATCTGCATGCAGCTAAAAAAAAAAAAACCTAAAGACAGCAATGACATGTATTGATCAAGTCCACCACAGGTTACCAGTTAAAAATATGCCACATTGTCAACTGGTGTCCATGCTCATACAATCAGGAACTGGTGCTGAGAAAGTACGGTAACCGACACCGAAATTTACTTAACACAGTGAGTATTACAAGTTAAAGGAAGGCTTAAATGCAGCACCGTTAATATCAGCGACAGATTTGATGCGATCGATTCCAGATGAGAAAACTACAGGGTCGAAAGATGTCCAATGGACTTATGACCCAAGTCAGCACTTTTACTTCTAGGCTTATAAAGATGTACATGGAAAAGTGTTGTGACTTGACTTGCGATCAAAAGACTTGTGACAGACGCGACTACAACACCGTTCTTGGAACAGAACAAAAATTTACCGGAATAAAGGGTGCACCAAAGTGGGAAAAATCAGTTCCTGAGATATTTTGGTCATAACTTTGAAAAAATGGTTGATTCGGTGGGGAGGATATGAATTATTTTGATGGAAACTTAAGTTAAAGACAATGTTACGAATTCCATGGAAGCAATATTTGATACAAAAAAAAGAACATACTGCTTAAAATCAATGCACCATGAATCAGATTTTCCTAGTGGTTTTGTTTCAAACGCCAATGAAGTACCACATTTTTTTTTTTTTTTTAAACATGCATCTAGCACCATTTTTTTTTTACAATTTGTATCCTTAAAATTGCATATATCTCTGTAAACGTTCTTTACTGACGTTGGATTCTTCGAATAAACTGTGTGAAGTCTAAGATATCTGTATTTTTTTTTTGTAATTTGAAAGTTAAGACTCGCAAGAAATTAGCATACATTTAACAAATGTTACTATTTCAGAAAAAAAGACAACGTGACATCTCTTTGATTTCAGTTTTGCGCATTCATATTGGACAAGTATATGCAAGATAAAACTGCCAATCAACTTGAAATTAAGTAAGTGGTTTCACAACCAAGTCAAGGCCTCACAAAAAAATGATTTAAAGTCTTCTTTTTAAAATCTACTATTGGGTTTCATCGTTAAAGGTAAAGTAGATCATTTGTCATTTGTTTCGTTTGAAGCAACAAAAGTGCTCAAAATGTAAAAATGGGTGCTTAACAGCTAACCTAAGGAAGTCTTAGCTCTGTGAATGCTGTATATTCCGAGAAAACAATATTCTAGGATCTCGATTTCAATTCAAAATATGCCTCATTTTGAATTGCGCCCGAAATCAGCATCTAAAAAAATGTTCTCATTCAGCCGATTGCAGCTACGCGATGTCACGCACTGAACCGACGAATAATAGCACGCATGCGTGTGCGTCGTGTCAACGCTTGCGCGCACCCATTCACAGATTCGTCCTATTACACACCAACTACTAACAGAAAGTTCCAAAAATGCATCACTGGACTCATCCTTGGAAATGACCTTCTTATATTTTCTTCAAAATGAAAGCTTGCCAGAAGGAATAAATTCACAGGGAGTTTAGTGTCATTACTATCTTTAAACCAAGTAAGATTCTTTAACGATAATTTGGTCGGCTACTTTTTGGATAGCTGCAAATGATCTGCTCTACCTTCAAGTCCATGTAAAAAAAATATCAGCAAAACAATTTACCCACAATACGGATTTCAGTTAGGCCCATGTCGTCGCATCATAAACACATTAATTCATTACGTTGGTCAGCAAAGTTTTTATTGTGAATCACATGAGGGCAGCAGACATGTTTCTGCCACTTATAAATCCCCAGGGGACTAACAGACAGTATAACAAACCCTACCACGGAAGGAATGTTGTTCGAAACTGCAAACGGCCAATCTAAAACTCCAGGCACCTCGGCCAGACTTTGTGCAGTTCAGTTTACATTTTACCCCAGAATTGAACCAGGAATAAAGTTTTTCACTCGTTGTTTTATTTTTGCAATGGCAACCACAAACAAAACACTGTAGTGGCCAACTCTCACTCGCAAACAACTCCGATAGACCACAACTATTTCTGAAAAGAACGACACAAAATGCAATGCGCCTGAGGCCAAATAAACAATTTGAAAAATGTAAATCTTGAGAAAAAATTTACCATGATATGACGCCTTACATAACTTACTTCAATTATACAATTACAGGTTTTAGAAAAATGTATCCCAATATCTATAAACTGGCAATATGAAATATGAATTTATTCTGACCCTTAAATAGCTTGAACCTCCAAATATTTAATTGGACAGCGCCCTCTATTGGTCAGATACTGCTTGGATGATGACATTGCATTTTGGAATGATGCTAACATGAAAAAAAAAAAAAAACCAAATAATAAATAAAAAAAATTAAAAAAATTGTACCCTGATGAATACCGTCTCACAGACTCAATCTCTCGCACCATGAGGCCCTCTATTGTCGCAACGATGCGCTCCTCAAACCCTCCTCCAGTTTTGCCTGCCAACTCGAGAGGGGTGGGGGCGACGTCACTTCCTCTAACGGGGCCATCATACGCGGGTGATATCGGCCGGGTTCCACTCGGACTCGGAGTCGGTGTCCGAGATGTCTTCTGTGTCGCTGTGGTCACTTCCCGTGCCCGACGACTGACCGCTGTCGGCCGACGTCCGTCGCGTTTTCTCGCCGGCCACGTCGCTGAATATACACGTTACCTGAGGACAAACGATGAAGGACACATTAAATTTATAATATTTCCATATCACAAAGCTGTGTTAACAGTCTAATCTATATTTCAATTGATATTCACCCACTTTACAGGACAGTACGTTGGGTTAAATGGATTTTTGTATCCATACAAAATCTTCCTCTTTATGTATTGGGGGAATTTTTTTTTACAAGTGACTTAAAACAAACAGTTCTACACTTGCAAAGTAGCCTGATTCTACCTTGGAACAGAAACAAATCAAACCTAGGAATGTATAAGGTTTAAAATTTGGAATTCTGCCAAAATGTTCTGCCGGAAATTTTTTTTGGGTTGGGGTGCCAAAGTTCCCAAGCCTTGTTTTGATTTATCTTGCTGGTAGCGCCCTCTGCCTCCACTGCGGCTTGACCCAGCTTGTTAAGCATTAGAACCAGCTGCATACCATTAGGGGGAACAAAATCAAAATCCACGCTCAGACTAAGATTAGTGGAAGAGTCACCCTGACTCACAATGAAATTTGGAGAGAACGACTTGTTGGTCTTGTCCTTGTTGGCCTTGTCCACTTCGTCTTTCCTCAGCGACAGGACCCTTGTGTAGCGGGAGCTGAGCTGGCTGAGGTCGTCTGGCAGGTACGGTCTCCGCCCGTTGGAGTCCGCCCCCACGTCCTTGCACCTCGGCACGAAGAACGTGTTGAACCAGAAATGGTACAGCTTATCCTGATGCGGGGACAACAAATTGTGGACAATTTTTAAGATTCATTCTTGCTGATCAATACTTCGACTGACTCTGTTGTGACTCTCAATAGGCATAACGTCAAACTAGGTTTTGATTCAAATAGAAAATGTCCTGAAAGAAAGAACACATTTTTTAATTCTAAACGGTATATTTTTCTGGTGTTATCTGGTTATGTGATTAGTTGCCAAAGATTTTAACAAGTCGTAAAATTTGCCTCTTGTATTGAAAAAGTGTCTTCATGCGACATGGGCTCCGTGCACAAGTACCCCCTCAACGGTAAGAAAGGGAGAGTTTGGGGAGACCACTTGGAGAGACATTTGAACGCATTGTCGACGACGTCTAACGCTCACGCAAAGACGTCATGGCTTTGTGCACATTCAGAATTATATTGGGCGTGCGTACTTCGCGCCATACGCGCGTGAAACCACTACGTACATTCAGTGTGTCCCATCCACAGAGCTCCCAGAATTGTTAAAAAGCGCCCTCTGTTGCTTGCGCACAAAGCCCAATGCATGAACCATTTCAGTTCCGAACTTCTGGCAGAAAATCTTTTGGTTCAAGTGTAAGTTACGATCGATCCACTTCCAACTTTTAGCTCTAACTGTCCGAGTTCCTCCAAACACCACCAGAAAATATGCACGGAGAGTTGAGGTTAAAAGACACAAGATACGATACAGTAAAAGAAACTTCACTTTACCGACTTCTCAAGCTGTTGGGGCTAAGTTTAGTAGGAAGACTGATTGAAATGACGGGGGCTGTTTTTTTGGTAATTTACCTTCTTGATCATGTTGTGTCTGTGGTAGAATTCTATCTTGATATCGCCGCAGACTGGCACTGGCTGGGGCAAGGTGAACTCCATGCTCTTGACTCCTCGTTTCACACCCTGACAATAACGGAAACAGAGAAAACAAAATCTTAAGTGTTTTGCTTTCTGTAAAATTAGCATTTCTAAGTGAACGTTTCATTTAAAAAAGTGGGATGCTCCACGGTAACACCAGGCTGTTCCTGGAAAAAGTGAGATGTCAATTTTTTAACGATGCAAATTTTCTTTTTGAAGAAGTCAGTTTTTGAAATTGATTTCAACTGGATGAAGTAAAAAGTAAGTTATATTTTCCAAGTCCACACTCATTGGAGGGGTTATAATTTTGAATCTGATCGTCTTATGATAACGTCACTTATATAGACCTTTGGGGAATGTTGTTAGCTACATTTTGATACCCCGTTTGCTACCAAAGACTGTTAATTCGTCCAACATTGACAACGGTTTATGAAAAATGATGCAGTTTAAAAAAGAAGAAGATGCATTTAAAGAGAGCTTGAGTGGTATTGCTGTATGACAATGTCACACTGCCCAAAACGAACGACAGGGAATACAGACCGCACAGTGCTTGTATGCATGGGAGTACACAAACTGAATTACCCTCACTTTGTTCGGGCACTGCGCAGTCAATAGGGGCCAATTATGGGCATATGTGGTTAAGCTTAGCAATTTCTCCTTGCTTAATCTTTAAATTTGCAACTTTTCAAACTGCATCATTTTTCATAGACCGTTGTCAATCTTGGACGATTTACAGCCTTTGGTAGCAAAATGTACCTAACAAAACTCCCCAAAGGTCTATATAAATGACATAAATGACGTCATCATAAGACGATCAAATTCAAAACTACTGACCCCTCCATTGAGTATGGACTTTCATTTTTTTGCGGCATTTAAGTATTTTGCACATTTTCTAAAACAAATTCTGAAGAAGAAAACATAATTCAAAAGCCAAATATTTTTGTTGAAAAATTCTTGACAGGTCTTCTATTTGAATTTCAAATCTGTGTTAGTACTGCCTTTTCTTATACAGCGAAGATATATCCTATTCAATTTTGTTTTATTATTTCTTGATGCATTAACAAGGCCACCCACACATAGACAAACACAAGTTTGCGGGATTTCAAAATGGAAAGGATATGACCCATGGGGGGCCGCAGCAGATAAGGCTGATTACTACAGACGTAGGTACATGGACCGCATTTCTTCCGACCCAGTTATATCCTTGCGGTGAAGCCCTGTGTGCACACGTGTATCCATTTCAGCGTTGGCCCACGCATGTGTAACCCACACCGGGTTGGCTATCGACGACGAATAATCTCGGGAGATTTTTTTACAAAGTCGGGTCGGGACTACTGGCAAGCACTGCCTATGCATTCACAATTGTGTGGTATTTGCATGAAAGGAGTTAAAAAAAAAAAAAAAAAAAAAAAAAAAATCCCCCCTGATTAAAAGGGATGAACAATTTTCAGAAGGAAATCGGGGACGGTATTTGGAGGTCTTCCCACGCGCGCATTGATTGCCTTTGAGATGGGAATCCTTTGCAGAGCTGCGGTTTAACGCCGGCTATTCCCTCTTCCAGGAATACCGCGAAATTTCAAAGCTTCGCTCTGAGTTTTAAAAATGAAGCAGGAAATGAGGTTTATTCGTTGGCTCTATTTGGTAAAGCAATTTTCCAATAAGGCAAAAAATAAGATGTCAGTTTGCGGTCGGTACAATGCACAAAATCTCTTTTGTGAGTTTGTGAGGGTCTGAAAAGAACCGAGGGAAACTCATAAAGTATCGAACAGTATCCTCTGCCCGTCATCAGTCTTATTGCTCTCTTCACCATTGCAAAACCTTCAAATAAAGCAAAAAGACTTTACTTCTGTTTTGCAACAAAAACAATTTTCAACTAAAGCACTCCTAAATTAAAAAAAAAAAATTCAACCCGGGGTACTGAAAAATCTTTCGTTATCCCACTGACCATGTACGGAAAATGCACTCATTTACGGATGAAAGCGTGGACTATTGTACATATAGAGACTGGCAATGAGGTCACTAGTGCACGTCTATGCGCCCCGAGGGACTGTGAGTGACCAGGAGAGGGTCCTAAGAGGGAAATAGAACCCTCTTCTGGTCACTCACACAGGCCCGAGGGGGGGCAGAAACGTGCACTAGTGACCGAATGATGCCAGTCCATATGTGTTTTATAACTCACCTCTGTCCAAAATCTAAAAGAAATGAAACCTTCCAGGGTTTTATTATTGAACTGTTTTAATTCAACAATTAACTCATAAGCAATACAACTGTAAGCAATTCAACAATTAATGGAACGCTTTTAGTTTCATCTCGGACATCGAGTGAAGAACAATTTTGAAACTCGGTACATGCATAGAGCAACTCATCATGAACATACCCAAGAAATTTCATTATAATCAAGGATATCGCGGAAAAAGTTGAGGGGGGGGGGGGGGGGGGGGGGGGAGGCCGCCCCCCCGGTCCCTGTAGGGTTAAAGGACGCAACTAATCTGTCATCATTCAAACGCCATCTTAAGACTCATCTTCAGTTGAACCACAGTGATGTACATGTACTAGTGACCAGCGCCTTTGAATGGTCCTCCAGATACTGTGCGCCTTATAAATTCTCTGTAATTATTATTATTATTATTATTACAATCTTTTTTGATCGGGACACTACGGATGCCAAAAATACTTACGTCGTAAGTCTGCGAGGTGAAGATCTTGACCTTCTGCTGAAAGACGGTGAAGGATGGGGTGAAGTTCCCCCCACCGATGATCGGTATCGTCTCCAGGTGGATCTTTCTCAGCAGTAACGTGGTGGGCTTGTACTCCAGCTGTTTACCGATGAGTTGGCCGTAGTACTCCACGTACCGCTTCTGCGACGGTATCGTGACGCCCTGCGGAACGTCACCGAAACTCGATATCAGCAATTGATTGAACAGTTCAAATCTGATTTTTTTTTAACTGGGTATATTTTTTACCATATTTGTCTGTGCGAGTGACTGTACCACGTGCAATTTATTCTATGCATGCAATTTATTCTATGCTGTACATTTTCTATTTGAATAATTATGTTGGTCGTTATTTGTTTACCATTATAGAGGATCACGATGAAAATGAGGTGCCAATGGCTTTTTTGGTGTTATCCTCAAAGAAACCTTGGATACGCTAAATGCTTACAGTTTGCTTAGGGAGTTTGTACATGTAACTTGTTGACTTTGTTGCCTTTGTGAAACATCCATTTTTTTTCAGTTAAAAAAATGTTCGATTCTATAAATAGCTTGTCTTGAAACTGAATAACTTGCAATTAATTTACGTGTGACTAAACCTGTGAAGTCCTTTGATTGACTTCTTGGGCCTTGATTTGAATTCACTTACTGCTATGCCCAGTGCAGTTGGCAGAGAATTATCAGACCTTTCAAAACATTTTGAATTTGCCTGAATAAAAGGGTTTTGAAAGGTGTGGAAGTGCTGGAACTTTGAAACTTTTCGAAAGGTTTCGGAAGGTGAAGCAACTCTGTGGGCAAATTCAGTAAGTTGCCTTTCAATACCTTTTCGAAATGAATTGAAAGGTGTGGTAGTGCAGTAACAATAAATTCTGGAGGATTTTAAAAGGTCTTGCATTTTTTGTCCTCCAATTTGCCAGAACCCAGATTTTAGGGGTTTTGAATGGTCAAACCACAGGAGAGTTAATAAACTCTGTCACATACCTTTCCGTTCATTGTCCTAGCCGACGCATAATGCTGGTGGGCCTCCTCGGCCGTTTTGTACAACCCCCGGTGCAGCATGTAAGCACAGATCATTACGCCAGTGCGTCCCTGAACAAAATAAATCAAGTGTCAAAACAAAAAGTTCAATTAATCTTCTACATGACTACATGAGGTCAATCGAATGCAAACTGACGGGAATGTTTCATGTTTTTTGAAAAAGCTTTTATCCTTAAATACATGTAAAATACGGTTTTCACTTTTGTTTTCGTATTTATATCTCATAGTACAAGATTTCTTCTTATGTCCATTTTCATAGAAATTTTTTGTTGTTGGTCACTAAAACTTCACCAAAATAATTAACCAAAATAAATAATATAAAAAATTAAAATCTATCAACCATGGTAAAAAGAAAAAAAATCTTGAGAGAGAATGAAGTCTTTTGAAGAAAACATGGACAGGTATATTATTATCTTAAATCTGAATATTGTTATTAAAAAAAGCCCCAAAAGACTAGCTTCAATTAAGATAACAACCCTTTCCTCAATGTCCATCTACCGGCATTGTATGCTACAAATGTAAAGTAAATGTTGGTGGGTGGGAGTGGGGGTAGGGGTGGTGGTAGGGGTAAAGGTGGGGTGGGGTAGGGATAGGGTAGGATAGGGTAGTATAGGGTAGGGGAGAGGGTAGGGTATGCATTAAGGTAGGGGTAGGGGTGGGGTGGGGGTAGGGGTGGGGTGGGGGCAGGGGTGTGGTGGGGTGGGGGCAGGGCTGGTGGTTGGGGTAGAGGTGGGCGTGGAGGTGGGGGTGGAGGTAGGGATAGGGTAGGATAGGGTAGGGTGAGGGGTGGGGAAGGGGTGGGGTCGGGGTAGGGGTGCGGGTAGGGGTGCAAGTATAGGTGCGGGTAAGGAGTGCGGGTAGTGGTTGTGGAATAAATCAACTTGAAAACTCACCTTGCCCGCTTTGCAGTGTATCGCGGCGACGTTCTTGTCGCTCTCCGAAGCCAGCCATTGGTCCAAGTCCTCGCAGAACGGCTTGATGAGTTCAAATCTGGGCGGGTTGTGATCATCAAACGGGTAGTTGGCCACCCTGTTGCAAAACTTGGACGCATCGTAATTCCTCTCCGAACACCTGTACCAATTTTTTTTATTTGAAAAAGAATATCCGGAACAGTTAGAAAAAAAATGGTGTGATGGCTTTTTTTTTTAGCCATCACACCATTTGCGGGTAATGAAACCAAAACCTCTCCCTCCACCCCAGGGGACAAAAGCAGCCAACCCAGCCAGCTACGTCAATATCGCCATGGCAACTAGTGCGCCGTAGCATCCCCTCCAGGAATAGACACTTGTTGAGATTCTTAAAATAGCTTCAGACAGTGGCAGTATAATTTTTTTTTTTGTGGTCGGGTCGGTCAGAAGCTGAGACACATCAAGTGCCTAAGCCCCCCTGTTATCACTGAGGATGTTTAATCCGTGGAGCTTTATCTCTCCTTGTCTCATTATGTTTCTCTCATCGATTGTCTACTGTCCCCCCCCCCCCACCCGGGGCAATGCCTGGGGATCTCATGCCTACGTCTCCCCTCATTATCTCTAAATTTCCTGTCTTCGTTTCCGAGGAGAAAAAATCACCTAAAACCCACGAGTTCTCCGAGTTCAATCCACCACAGGAAATTTCCATCTTTGCATTGAATACAATGGAAAGTGTTCTGGACAAGTCATTTTTTCAAAAAAAACCAACCAAACCCACTTTTTTTATAAACTTATATTACTTTGCTATAACTGTGTAACATAAAACAAATAGCGTAAATCATCTTTTGAACCTTTAGAGACTGTCAGAGACTGTTAATTTCCTGTGAAACTTTAACATATCGGACCCTTTTTTTCTAGAAAGGACTTTTTTCACAAAAGGATTCTTTGCAACTTGATTCACAGATTTTTTTTTCTTTCAATCACACATGTACATGTACCTTTATCGTCCTTTTAAAACAACCCCCCCCCCCCAAAAGGCCCCCAGCCCTTGCACACTTGCAAATGTGCAATAAGTACAATTAATAAACTTTAGGTTTAACGGAAAAGTTTCAAAAAAATTCACTCACAAATTGTACACTTTGTAGTGTTCCCCGTGCCTTTCCTCCAGAAATCTGTAAATAAAAATAATTTTATTCTAACTATCAAAAAAATAACCAACGATGTTATTTGGCGCGAGTTAGGTTTTTACATATTATTGAAGTCTGCTTTAATTCTCCATATTTACTATTTTACGAGATGAAGTTGATGTTTTTTTTCTGGATTTAACAAGAAGGAAATTTGAAGAAAATTTCCTACCCGTTCGATTTTAAGACTCAGATATTCATGTTCCAGCTTTGCCATCACCAATTATTCGCAATATACAAAATGCAGCTTTTTAATTGGGCATAGATTCCCGTGAAAGACTTCAAGAAAAAAAAAAAAAATTCCACTTCAATAATTAGACGTCACTTCTACGGACGCATACACGCACACAGACAATCTTGTTTCGTAACTGCATGGACTACACACGTGTTGTCCCATGGTATTTATTGGGACCGAAGACGCTATGGGGACAGCAGAAAGTCCCCATAATTCAGTCCTAATTTGCCTAACAATAAGAAAAACCTTCCCCATAATGCAGTGACGGCCCACCCACACGTAAACACATTTCCGGAAGTCTTCAGAAAAGAAACAGAAAAAAAAGCAGAAAAAATGCAGAAAAAAGTTCAGAAAATACAAAAAATCTGCAATTTACTTGTCCAAAACCAACTAACCACAGACCACTTTGGTCACAGGAATAAAAAAAAAGACTGAGGTTTTGCGCATGAATAGGCAAAATCTACTTGTATCAATTCCATTGTATTTTTGCCCTAGTACAGATGCATGTCCATCAAAGAGTCTGACTTTATAAAGCTGACTCATATTACTCTGTGGAATACAAAAGGGGGCAGTCAATGCCCTACCCCCTTGTCACAAAGGTGGTTAAATTCAGTGCATTTTAAAATTACAGGGCGAGTAAAAAAAAAAGAAACCCAAAAGGCAGGACCATTTTTTATTGAAGTTCTGCATGTACATTGTAGCACTTTCAAACTCTAGGATATGAAAGCCCAGACATTAAGCTTTCTTTTGGTACAAGAAACATTCAAATCACTCATGTACTTTTCAAGTTACGGGATTTTTAACACAACCACTGTTTTAAAGTTCTGTCCACGGATCACAAAAAAAAGGTCAGTGTCTCTAAAAAAAAAAAGGTCAGTGTTTCTTCAGTAAAATGAACACAATTCACATAGGGATGAAGGTGAATTGTTTTCATCTTGCTGAAAGAACACTGACATTTTTCTGTGATCCGTGGACAGAACTTTAAGACGGTGGTTGTGTTTAAAATTTTGTAACTTGAAAAGTACATGAGTGATTTGCATGATTCTTGTACTAAAAGAAAGCTTATGAATTGGGCTTTCATATCCTAGATTTTGAAAGTGCTACATGCAGAATTTCACTAAAAAAATGGTCCCGACATTTGGGTTTTCGGGTTTTTTTTTTACTCACCCTGCATACTGTATTGAAGTGCATGTACCGGTACGGCACTGTTTTCACTCACCTGACGATAGTTTCAATGTTGTTTCGGTACACTCCCTCCAGTTTCTCGGCTGGGAAACCCATGGCAATGATGTTGGGGTAGATATCTGTATCACAGGCCGAGTCAAGGAACCAGACTGTCACAAAATGAATCATTTTCTTTTTTTCAAATTTACAATTTTTGTGGCAACAAAAGTTTGTGCCAAGCAAATATGATCTGAGAACCGGTCCCAAGTGGTATACATTGCATGCTGTTCTGGCTGGTAACCTGTTAATATAATTTTCTGTATTAGCAAACTTTGGTTTTTATGCTAATGCTAATTTCCATATTCATGAGCAAAATTGTGATGTCATTCAAGATAGAAACTTCAGTTCCACATCTGCTTCAGCATAAAAAAGGCACCAGAAGTTTAAGGGGGTTGCTGAGGTTATTTGTCTGGTTTCAGTGGTTCATTGTTGTTTCAGTATGACTGTAAGACGAGAAAAACTTTAAGGCAAAAAGGTTTTTAATAAGTAGAATTTTGGGTTTACGATTTGAAGAGAAAAACCCAACTCCGTAGAGTGTGTTCCAAAAGTGACATCGCAGCAACAGCGCCCTCAGTAGTCAGGAAAAGCATGAAACATTTTAAATGTTAAAAAAAATGCACTTTGCAACTTTTTTATTCCAAAAAGGGATGTCTCATACTTTGTTTTTATACATTTCAGAGGAATGAATATATGCTACAAATATGCTCCAGTGTAAAATTCATTTCATGAAAAACTTGTGGTCACAAAAGAAAACTAAGGAAAGTGGATGTGGTTCTCATTTGTAGTAAGTCTAGATGGTTCCTAAAAGTTTGTATACCCAGATCCATGGCAACAAGGGTCGTTATGAAAGATTAAGGGTTATAGTAACAATATGATAAGCCCACGAGTACATTAATCTGCAGACCAGAACTTCCCTTGTCTGTGTCGGTTCCCAACTCCTGAACTCATACATGGAGTTGAAACTGCACGTACGCAGTGCACCGTCTAGTTTACATTTGTGTCAAGTTCTGTAGAAGCAGATACTAGTAGATTAGTCAAGCGGATCCGATTCCCATAAATGTATAACATGAGCATGTACACGTAGGAACATGCTCATTAAATAATAAGCAGAGATCCCCGCCAATAACTTTTGGGCAGGGGACACCAATGGTGATTTGTCCCAGTACGTATAGATTTGACCCCAATGTACCAAGCTTTTCATATTATTTTTTTTTTCAAATGCTTTTATAGCTTACTAGGCTATAGCTTACAGATATTGTTTGTTCACCATTCTTATTTTAAAAATTGTACATTATGAAAAAAAATGAACCTAACTGCGCACATGTACCGGTACATGTATCCATATATTGTCGTCCCCCCCCCCCCCCTCCCCAATGTTGTCAAGAAATCGCCCCTGCTGAATATAATACTCGGTAACTACCAAGCAGTGATTACAGTTGAGTCACTTGAGTTGAGTCCTAGTCTTTGAGTCTAAAAGTCACTTATAATTGAGTCCGAGTCTCGAGTCCATTTCATTTAAGTCTTTTGCAGATGTGACTCAAGTCCCAGTCACTGAAATTGGGATGGGCTTGAGTTTCAGTCCTGGATTTGAGTCCATACTCTCAAACATTGTCCAGGGAACATACATGTACATTGTGCATTGTACATGTACATGTACCGTACATGTACATGTACATGATGTACGTATCCGTATGGTGTACACATATTGTACATGTTGCCTATATAATCGTTTAAAGTAAATTAGAGGACATGACATTTTTATCTCAAGGCAAAATGACAACATACATGTATTGTGTAACATGTTCAAATGTTTTTTTTAGTCTAGAATGTAAAGACTAAAGACTAAAGACTTTCACTCTTTGTCAGCAAAATCTAAAATGTAAGTTGTAAAGTGAACAAGGGATGACAAAAATCCAAAACTTTTTTTGGAACCTGGGTTTCCTACACGCATCAAATAACTATGCTTGAAACAGCTTGAAATTATCTATACATGTACATGATTACACCATAGAGCTAGGACCCATCATACTGGTAAATCGTGCATCACAAATGGAGTTCAGAGATTGAACACAATTCAGGAAAAATTGCTTCCAAGAAACGGAGAACAATGAACACCCTACAGCCACACAATTAATCCCTGACCTTTCACTCCTCCCCCTAAAAAATCTGACACCAGAGTTCTTTTCCATCTCCCAGATCAAGGGGGGGGGGGGGGACCACGTCGCCCTTGAACTGCCAGTATGCATTAGGGAGCTCGGCGGGAAGGCAATGGGGTGGTGATGATAGGTTGGCTGGAGTGGTTTGGTTTTAAGGGTTTTTTTAAGGCGAGGTAGAGGGTACATATAGAAGGAGAAGGAATCTTTTGTGGGTGGAACATTGAGGGGTGGTTCTACAGGTAAAATACACTCAACCCAAAAAAGAAAGTCCCCCCCTTCCAATACTTTTTTGTCTAACTCAAAAACTACTGAGCACCTCTTGCTCAAATAACGACTTATCAGTACAGAATTTCCTCAGCAATCCAGCCATACTCTTTCTTTGGCCCAAAACATAATGAGTACAAATTTATGCAATTTATGACAAATGATACCGAAAACAGTTGCACTTTTGCATACATGTAGGCAAGTTGTGGTTCACACTCACCTTGCACATATACAAAAGTGCAACTTCTGTTTTGTACCATCTGTCATAAATTGCATAATTTTGTACACATTATGTTTTGGGCCAAACAATGAGTATGGCTGGATTGCTAAGGAATTTCTGTACTTATCAGTGGTAATTTGAGCAAGATGTGCCCAGTAGTTTTTGAGTTAGACAAAAAAGTATTAAGGGGGACTTTCTTTTTTTTAGTCGAGTGTAGCAGTACTAATGTACAATGTACCGGTAAAATGGGAATCAGAGTCAGAGAATGAACAAAAAATAATTCCTTGAAAAAAAGAAAAAAAAGCAAGAGAAATCCAGCAAAACTTAATCTAAGAAGAAATGTTTTGATGAGTTTCTAGGAGTGTGCGATTAGGGTTTGTATGGGAATCAGGTACCTGATTGAAAAAAAACCCCATGGGTACATGTACCCTGGAACACATTCAAGAAACATAGCCCTAAAATTCAAATCTCGGAAGTTGCTGTACAGATTGCTCATGAAGGTCCGCACGGTAATATTACCACATCGGTGCGTCAATACAGCAAAGTGCAAGTGTGTACAGACTGAGCTCTTTAACTTCACTGTGTACAGTGAGCTCTTTAACTTCACTCTGTACTGGTAAATTGCATTTTCACAAGCGTCATAAGCGTGAATCTGTTTTGTTTTTCCATGTAGCCTGGCTTTCATTTCGAAGATTCCCCATAAATGACATTCAAAAGCTTTCCTTTTCATATTCTGAGAAGTTGCTGTTAAGTAATATGTAATGTTAATTACAGGGTACTCGATTACATAATCGATACTGTTAAGTAATATGTAATGCTAATTACAGGGTAAAAGTACTCGATTACATAATCGAGAACCTAGTTCCGATGTACAGCCCTATGAGTTTCAATTTTAGGTTTTACCCTTCTCCGACATAAAAGTTACATCTCCAAATGTGCAAAATTCAACAAAACAAGGTTTTGATGACATGCAGCTTTTCACGAAAAATCTAAAAATGTTACATTTTGGAATTGCTTTTGTACCCCCAAAGAGTATGAGAGCTGGGGAGATACTGGTACGTGTACATAAAAATCCCATGCCAGCGCATCATTTTCTTCATTAAAGACATTATTGCCTCATGGTTGAAATTTACTTTGTCTTGCAAGGCATACGACGGCTCCTCCTACACTGACTGGATGAACGTGCGTACAAGTAAATGTGCGTCATGCTGGTACATGTACCTCAACTTCACTTTCATGTATAGAACATGTAAATATTTACATGCACATACTGTATACATGTACATGTAATAGTTTATGTAAACTCTATAGCGTACATGTACCTTTCAAAACCGAGTTATTAACAATGAGATAATTGTTTAAATCTAAACTGATTACAAAATTCCGTGAAGTGCGTCAGTGCAAATTATCATGTCATAAAATATTTTTAAAAATTCAACATTCAGAGGAATATTCACAGAGTACAGTATTACTGTATGTTTCTACTATTTAATAACCAATAATAATAACTTATCAAATTTATATTGCTCTCCCTCCAGTGCCAGCCTGTTCAAGAGTGCATTACTTCATACTCATACATATATTATTAAAGGGAATGTACATCATTGGCTTTTGCTGTAATTTTCAGAAATGAACTATTCGAGGGGTTAGTATAATGGATCAAATATTGTAACACTGACATGTTTTGAAGTTTTGTGTTCGAAAATGCTGGAAAAACCAAGAAAAACAAAAATGTTCAAGTAGTCTGGTTCCTTGACTCCACTAAAGATAAAAAGGATCAATTGATAGATGCCGGAAAATTGTAAGGTAAGGGAACCAGTCTAGCTGGCCTGCACCCGTTCATGAACATGTAACCAATAGCAAACAAAATTTGGACTGAAAAAAGTGTAAAGTTGGAGCAGTAGTTGAAAAATAGTTAGGTTTTTCCAACGGTGGTCGGCCGACCACCGTTGGAATTGTATACAAAACTACAATTTTCTTGAAAATGACTTCACACCAGGTGCCATAATTTTACAGGATGCTTTAGACTGTCATTTACCAACATCCTAGTAGGGTATTTCGTAAAAACTTGGTAGTTTTATTTTTGATGTTTGCAAATGTTGTATATTCCCTTTAAAAACAATAACAATTACTGTACGTAATGGCACAGTTATAATTAGTCATGTACACACTAAAAATACTACAAATCATTTCACCGCGGATGTTTGTCATATCCATGTTGTAGTTGCATTTCTGTTATGTAATGCATGAGCCAGCCTTTAAAATGTGGTTTAAAGGTACCGGTACATGTACATGTACACTTGCTTTTACTGTAATTTTCGAAAATGGGTGGATTTGGGGGGTTTTACAGGAAATATTGTTACACTGGCCTGTTTAAAAGTTTTTGTGTTCACAGATGCTGGGGAAAAAAACCATGAAAAAAAATGCTGTTCTTGTAAGT